GGAGGCCAATCCACAGGCTCGTCCTCAGTATCTGGGTCTTCAGGCTGGCTCTCCTGTTTTCCCACATTGTCGGTCTGGGTAACCTCTGGAGGCAATTCCCTCACATCTCCATCCAACCTGACCTCAGCACGTGATTTGTCTGCTTTTGGAGGTAACGGAGGTGCTCTACACGGCCTTAAAGGAGAAGGTGTTCTTTCTGTGCAGACTACAACTGGGTCAGGTGAAGGCAGAGGGGGTGTTCTCGAGTCCTGAAGGTCTGCAGGAGAAGGGGTCTGCTGTAGGGCGATTCCCACTGTCTGCTGGGCCTCTGTATTGGGTTGACTGTTGGGCTGCAGATTTATTTTGACCTCCAGAGGAGAGTCAGGCTGCAGAGGCAGAATGAGAACTGGTCTCTCTTGACCCAGAGGTTTCTTTGGCAGCTCCTCTGACTTGGCTAAAAAAGGAAATGGAACATAGGGAATACATCAAGACAGGAAAAAAAAATACTTTCGGAGCTCAATGTAGCTTAATACTGAAAAATAACTAAAAGAACACAACTGCACCTGGGGGAGGTTGGTCCAGCTTTTTACCACGAAGCTCAGACATCGCAGCCTGTAACTGTTCAATCACCACATCATCAGGCAGGAAAAAAGAAACAGCCGTCTGCTCCTGGAGAAACTCCCTCAGGTCCTCTAACGGGAGCTTCTGCAAGCGCTCTGATTGGACACACACAATAGGGACAAAAAAGTTACCTCACAGAATGGGTGACAGTAATCTATGAGGCTTTCATGTCATGTAACCTCTGTGATATGAACCATGAAGTGCTCGGCCTAACTTTAGACACTAAGTAAAGAAGTGGCCTGTCAAAAGAGATGTTGTACAAGAACTCCGCGCTGAGGCGATGCTGGTGCAGGCGTCCAATGAAAAGTCAGCTTTCGATTCTTTTCCACAGCAACCACCCACTGGCATTATGTAAGCCATCCGGTTAGGAGGCAGCCAAGCGAGAGGCAGCGTGCGACGTAACACTCCCTGGTATAGCAACAGTAGCCGTGGCTGTATCTGGGCATGAAACTGGTTGGACCTGTTCAGCACTGCACGACATGGGAGATAATATAATCATCCTCATACTCACTCTTGTGTAACTTGAGGGTTGTATAAGCCATAGCAGTTAGCATCTTCTCTCCCTCCAGTATGTAGATGTCCCATAGACGCAGGGTGAGGGTAAAAGGGGTCTGTTATGTAAGACACATAGCAGCAGATTAAATAATAATAAAACCCCAGATGTGGGTTCATGTTTAAAAGCAAAAGCAACAGAACGCACAATGATATACTGATTAATGTGTTCAAATGTAGGATATGTCTCAGACTGGATATAAACAGGGAGGAGCACTCATGCAGTTTGTGATCTTTGGGAAATCCAAACACTCACTCTGTCAATGAAGCACTGCAGAAACCATTTGGTGGTGTAAATCCCTGTTGTCATCTGCTCCTTGTCCTGTGGAAGCATTAAGAAGAATTAATGAGGAATAGTCTCTATGGGAAGTCACTCCTCATAATCGTTTTTTTCGATTATAAATCTCACTTTCCATATGACTCCTGGATTGGCAGTAACATTCCTAAAATTTGTCCTTTTGCAATATTAATTAATTAAACACTGAGAAACAGCTCGAATAAATCGACTGTAGTGCGTGACCTTCTGAGCAATCAATTTGCCCTGTGTCTCTTGCATGGACAGAAAGCATCGGTCATACTGATGTACTTTAACCTACCAGGTGTTTCTTCAGCCTTGGCAGCATTTTGGAGAGGATCAGCTCATGGTGGGCCTGGAAACGCTGCAGCTTGGGAAATCCCGGGATGAAAAACCCTAGCACAGTGAGAGAAAATAAATCAGCAGGCCATAAATGGTGTGTGGTAACAGTAGAGACATAACATTTACAAAGGAAAAAGTATTTCCTGTCTTAAAGGAAAAACTTCACCCACAATGTGACCATTTGTATAACAATTACTCACCCGCTGAATTCATGATGAAAACTTTTTTTTTCTCGCATGCCTCCACTTTGAATGAAGAATCCAAAAACTGAGAAAATTCTTGATGAACTGAACTCAAGGGGGACCATGTTTAACAAAAGCAAAATTATTTATAACACTTCCACATAAGAGCAGTGCGCATGGGCAAATATGTATATTCAGATTTTGTAAGAGCATTCCATTGCGTTGCCCAGGCCCACTGCTTGTCCATACAGGAGACTCCTTATGCAAATAAATAGTAAGGTTTAGCAAAAATGCATGTGTTTGGGAAGTCCTGAGCATGCAACTGGATAAATGAGACTTGGATTATACTGCATGAGTTGTGAGTTTGTACGTAGATGTTTTGGTATAGATTTTGCTGTTGTTAATTGTGGACCCCTATGACCTCTATTCATCAAGAATTTCCTCAGTTTTTGGATTCTTCGTTTACTGTTGAGGCATGCGATAAAAACAAAGTTTTCTTGACAAATTCAATGGAACATAGGGTAAGTAACTGATATACAAATGGTCACTTTGTGGGTGTAATACTCCTTTAAAGGACTTCATCAAGGGCACTAAGAAAACATGACAAAACTCTGTAGTGTCCTTGAATCATTTGGAAAATGTGGTGAATTTGCTTCCACTAACATTAAGGTTGTATATAAGTAATAAATAAATCTATACACCATTTATATGGGGCTAATGTTATAGCAATAATATATGAAATTGTGGTGGAGACCTGTTAAACATGAAATTGAGAGACATACATTAAACAGAATTGAGCATTTTTGTTTTCCAGCTCTTGAAGCTTAACGCTAAGATGGGTCACTCATCAATAAAGGTCATTTCTTACTTCTGATTTCCAGTTTTTGAGTATATCATTTTCAGATTTTTATAGATGTCTCATATAATCTTATGTACATGAAGAGATTGGGATACACATTCACAAATATGAGTATGCACTCACAGATTCCAGCACACATCAGACAAATCTGAGTGTACACGCACAGACTCAAGTGCAATTTTACAACACACATTTTCATCCTTTTCCTAGGAACATATGACGATATTTGACGTCTCAACATTAATCAGCTCTGCGTTTTTTTTTCTTTCTGTTTTCATTTCTTCCTCATTCTCACCGTGCATGGCATGCTTGCTGTTGTTGAGGAGCTGGGACAGAGCCCAGAAGGCATCTTCCTCATTCAGGTACATGAGCAAGATGGCAGCGATCTGACTCATCCCCTGGCAGTAGCTCACCTCCTGGGGGAACCACAGTAGCACAGACAGGTTCAATTAAACAGAATGGGCAAATGAGAGGAATTATTCATAATTTAATAGTGTGCGCACACACACACAGGCCGAGACACGAGAGCACCTGAATGTCTGATGTGGTCTGAAGCCAGACTGAGGATGTGTGTGGTTATGCTGCACACGAGGACCTACTGTACGTGCAGCTAAGATATTATAAACACTTTTACCAAAGGCTGTTCAAATATTTACTCGAGCCCAACGTACATTCTCAGTAATGTCATGTCTTCAGCTTGAATTACTGCCAATCTGACTCCTTAATGATTCAATGATTTACACTAAACCCATCGCCCTTGGCAAGCGCAGATACACAAAACCAGGCACACACTTGGTATTTGTCCATATTAAGGCCGATTTATTGTTCAGCCAAATATGGACACTCCAACGTATCCTTTCAAGGAAATACAGTAAATATAATCAGGGTTACCACAGAGGTTAAACTACACATTCTCCACATTCTTCCCTATCATCACATAAGCGAAAGGACACGCACACAAACCCCCTCTTTCTCTCCCGCTCTCTCTCCTACTGACCCAATTTCTTCTCAGCAGCGTGTGAGAAGAGGGGAAAAGGAAAACGGGAACAGCACATGCCCATTTCCTCTGGCTCAAACACCTCTACTACAGAGGAACAAACTACAGAGCCCAATCTGAAAAACAGACTTGGACGGGGTTCGTGTGTGGGAGATGTAATGTACTGTACATGAAGCTATCTTTGGATGGCAATATTTCTGTCCCTACCAGACGGCAGCAATCTGTGCTTATACAGGAATTAATATATACAGATTAATCCACATATTTTGAGATACAGGCTACATATACACATTTACTGTATTTTCATAAATATGTGCTTAGTTGTAAAAGCCAGATTTCACCCCACTGAGACAAACTCTGACATGTAGTGGAGAAAGTACAGACAGCACTTTAAAGTAGATGCGTGGAATCATCATTATGTCTAACCTCAGTATCCACAACTGCAATTCAAACACATTATTACAAAGCAAAAACTGTTTAGACTGCAAATGAATGTCGTTAATTAAAACAAAAGCGATGAAACTTTTCTGGTGGGCTGTCAGCAGAAATTACTACTCAAGGAACAAAATCTTATGTTTGTAATTTTTCTGGCAGTAAATCAACAAAACAAGGCTCATTTGCTCATTTTCTTTGCCCGTTAAACGACTCGCAGTGTCTGAGGGTGAACTTAGTCTAACAACGTGAGTGCTGAGTATGGATGTGGGTTCGCTGGTGGTCGGACTGCTACACTTTGTTGCTGTACATTCAGGCAGCACCACACTCATAAATAAAAGATCTCACCCAGGGCTCCAAACGAGAATGAGAACAGATGGGTTTAGAGTGCTCGGCCTGTTCTTTGCTGTATGGAAACCAACACACTCTGTGGACTGTTACGCCACTGACATGCTGCTTTTGTGACGCAGCCAGTGTACACAGGACTCTTCGATATTATGTAACACACACCTCAGTATACACGCATCTACGCGCACACACACTTACCGTGTTGTAGACTGAGTAAGCTGCTAGTACGTGAAACAGCGCCTGCTGCCTAGAGAGGGAACAGAGAAACCACCAGTTAAAATGAGGATGTGGTTCCTTGGCAACAATCGAGCAAGCTGGAACAGTGTTTCGGAGAATAGTGATTTAATTTATTCCATGTTAATTCCCTGAGGGCACATGAGTAATGATTTCTTCACCACCTCTTCCCTAAATTAACTCCATTAATCAGCACAGACAGCTGTAATATTTCTGCTGAGGCTAACAAACCCTGGTTGCATCATATTATCCCAACAGTGTTTGTAAAATTTTTGTGTATGTGCATGTGTGTATAGTCTCGGTCCTATGCTTAAGCTATTGAGCTGTGTTTTAAGTTATTATGAAGGGTGTTTCTGAAAGGACCTCTGTGACCTATCAGAGCCAGGGTGACATAAAAAAAATCTAATTTTTCTAAATTTATTTTGTTTAGGGGTTAATAAGGTAGAAGAATTTCATCACATAATTTCGCCCAAATCACGCAGCTTCTGTCCAGTTTCTATAACCACATGGTTACGTGCTGCGAGGCTGATTACATCTGGAGTCTCAACTTTCAGACAGTGAACACAAGGCAGCTATTGTGCATGTGTGTGTGAATGTGTATTTGAGCAGAGAAGTGGCATTAACTAATATAATGTCAACAAGAGAGGATGTCTCCCCTCCAGGCCTCTATAGTAAATGCCTGTCTTATAGACAGAGACAGGAAAATGAGCTTTAAATAGCTGTCAGTGTCTCCGTGTGAGTGAGACAGCTGTTGACCTGCAGGGAAGGAGTGGGCAGCCAAGCAGGATGGAGCGGTGTTTTGGTCTGTTTGGACTCGGTGGCTTTGAATTGAGGGGGGAAGTACGTTACAAAGAGCGAGAGAAGAGTGCTTGGTCGCACTCTGTCAGCGTTAAACTGACAAATATAAACCAGCAGCTATCAGATGTTCAAACACACACACAGCTCTCCCAAAATCATGTTGTGAAGCTCATTTAAACATATGTTTAATCTGCTTTTTGAATGTATTAACAATATATCGATAGGGACAGTGTTGTTCTGCAGATGTACACTTGATGTCGGTGCACATTTCTGTATGAATGGCATTTCCTGTGGGGCTCTGTGCACTGACAGGAAGGCTAATAAAACACAGAGGAGGAAACCACTGCTTTGGTTTTGTGTGTGTGCATGTGTGTGTGTGTGTGGGGCTGCCTCAAGGTTTGAGCCAGAGGTCACACTCTGCAGAGACTTAGCGAGGGCAAACCTGAGCATGTGAGGTGACAAAGAAAATAAAAACACGCACTTTGGAGACACTTGGATGAAGACATTTGTTATGAAAGCTACTTAAACTGTCACTCACTTTACAGGCTTAAGGTCAGAGGAGTAGTCATATGATCCACAGCAACATTAGCGGTTTGTTCACTCAGATAAACTCTCTGGATAGGATGGGGTTTCTGATGTCACTTGATAAATCAAAACACAAGCTGTTTCACGCAGCTTTTTGTTGAGTGAAGCTGCAAACTCACATGACTCCAAAGCGGTCCCTGAACATGATATGGTTCCTGAAGGTTCTGTTGACGTCTAAGTCAATCTGTTTGATCTCTGTGGAAAAGTTACGAGCCTGCTGCTTCATTCTCTGAAGGACAAAAAAAGGGACAAAATGTCATTAAAGCTCGGTGAATGTCAGAATTTATCCTTTCACAGAATCTGCATTTTAGAGGAATTGTCATCACTTAATAAATTCAGACCTCATATTTTCCGTCGTTCTCCTTTTTGACTTTCTCTATGTCCAGAAGCAAGGCCCAGGCCTGGCCTCTCAGCTGCAGAGGGATGCCTTTATACACACGCTTTGCCAACTGAAACACATACAAGCAGATGTGAATGGGGACTCTCGAGACAAAAAGAGACATTGTTCACCACGACAACCAGAAGAGAGACGCAGCGGGTCAAGTATACATGCTGCGTTATGGTATGCAGCCTTTTTAGCTCTCTTGAGTGACAAGGACTCATCATAGGCACTTATTTTCTTGCTCTGATTGTCTAGACCAGAGGGGAGGTAGGGATAAGGGAATAAGCTGCGGTTAAAAGGGGAATGGAAAACAGATTATTAACAGAAACGGAAATAACACATCAAATAGCTGAGGAGGGGAAAAAAGGGAAGAGAGGGCTAAATTAGGACAGCATGTCGGTGCGTCCACCACTATGGAGTTGCGCACCTTATCGCTGTTTCTGTACTTGTCCCACTTCTTCACCATCTTCAGCCATTTCTCCACTCGCTCTATCTCGTGGTGCTTTTGCTGGGGAGAGGAAAGAAGGACATCATGAGGTTCAGTGGCTATGTGGGTGTAAACATATCACATGGAAGGTCAAAATCAATCTGGACTTGCTGTGCAGGTTTAAAATTGATACCTTCTCTTCAAGCGCACTGGGTGTTGGCAGCTCTTCCTCGCTGAAGGGGACAAGCAGAAATACAGAGCATGTATTAGAAATAGGGACACAGAGAGGATAATCTGGCACTGATACAAAATATCACCGTAATGTGAGAAAGACACAAGAGAGGAAGAGGGAATGTAGATACAAATGAAGGCGTTCTCAAAGTTGGAGATTAGAAGATTCAAACCACTGCAAGGAAGCCGTCAGAGCTTTAAGTCGGGTAACTTACTGCAGGAAGCCGAAGCGGTCGGTGACCTTATAGATGCTGTAGTCAGCGTCCTCCCATGGGTCAATGTTGACACCCTCCTGCCTGCCCTGAAACATCCACATACCATAACCCCCATAAGAAAACACTGTGTGCAAAACAAACTGTTTAAAAGTGACATACGACAGTGCTTGTGTGTGCTGCAAACAAACTGTGATACAGACAGGACAAGTAGAATAAACTGAACATGCTATGTAAACAGTGACAACAGTGATTTTCTGTCATTTTTTTGCCTGCTTCATTTGTTTGTAAATCAGCCAAACTATACTAGAATTTAAAACAACACTAACCTGACAAACATTTCCCGTTTTTTTTGTCCTCTCTTTCACACAAGGTTCTCTTGTTGTTCTATTCCTAATGGGTCTGAAAAGGGTTTTAACCCTAATGTGTGAACTGCATGCAACATCCAGTCTCTGAGTCATTAATTGATCATTCCCAGTAATCCCATTTTCTCTGCCTGTTGTTAACAAATCTATTCTCAGTCCACAGATTGCAGCCACCACTCAGGGCCTCACTCAGACTACTCACTCCTCCATTCTGTTGTGTTAGATACACCTTTACTGCCCTTCCTTAAAGGAAATGTTATGTTCCAAAGAATCCAGATTTTACTTTTTACGTTGGGCCAACTTAACATAGAATTTCATGATCTCTGACAGAGATACGGCAAGGAAATGCCCCACTGTGCAGTTTCCTCCAACTGAGCTATGATAATTTTTAAGCTACAAAACCTCAAGTTTGTTGTTTGTCAGAAGTGTCGTAAGCATCATACTGAGTATTGACTTAGGTGGCAGGCTTACCTTGTCATATTTAGAGATGATTTCAGCGCGTTCCTCTGCTATCAATGTGTCTATGTCCTTCTTCATGTCAAAATCTGGAAAGAAGACAAAATGTCATTTATAATCAACATAATTGGCATAAACCATATCAATGTGACCAAACATTTACATTTATAAGATGTGGTAGCTTATTGTTTTACTGCTCGTTGTTGGTGTAGAGAGGGCATGGAGAGATGATAAGCATACTTTAACCTTTCCTAGATGGGTGGATACATTTTGCTTTAATGTTAAAATTGATGTTAAATTGACTGCTAACAGTAGCTTAACTTTTTTTTTTGCTTGCCTAAGCATGGAGGATAGATTCTGACTGGACATGCTCTGTCTGAACTTAGTGAGTAAAATTTATTTATATAGTGCTTTTCACAGACACAGGTCACAAAGTGCTTCACAAAGGCATTATATAGCAAAAAACGAAAACATACAACACAAAGTGACTACATGAGCTACATGCCAAAAGGGCAATACACAAAATATGAATAAAATAAAGATCTGATGCATTCAAGTTACCCAAACACCTGTCTAAACAGGTGCGTCTTTAGCTGAATTTCTAAAGAAACCACTAAGTCAGCAGACTGTAAGTGAGCAGGCACAGCATTTCAAAAATTTAGGTGCTATGGCCACAAAAACTCAATGAGTTTAATCAGTTTATTAACATGAGAAAAACCCATGACCTGTTCAAGCTGAAATTAGAGTGCAGGTCAGCTACAGAACAGTGCAGAATGTTTCAGTATTTTCATCAGGAACACTCAGCGCTGTGAGTAGTTTCCTAACAGGGGCTCGTACCTATAGATGTGCATACCTCTTAATAGTGGCGGTTACACAGAACAGGCATCATGTGAGATGATGTCATCTTGAAAAAGACCACACAGCATGCTAAATATCCTTTCCATATGTCTCACCAACATATACTAACTCTCTTACTTACTTATCCACCATTAAAACCCAAAATAACAGTTACACATCTGACAAATTATACAAACTGTTGTTCTTAATAAGTAGACATATGGCAGGCTGGAATCCACAAGGTCATCAGTAACTTCCCTTTAGTGGGCCCACAGCTTCAGATGACAAAACTGTCAGGCTATTTAGACTACAGCACGAGTTCACTGACTCTCAGTGTGAAGTTATGAATAGTGGTATACTGAACATTAGTCGGCTATTTTTAGGAATAGTAGTCACATCCAAAAGTGTCATTTTGCCATTGTATTACTGAATCTATTTCATATCCAAGTTGTTTCAATGAGTAGACAGAAAATACACTTGAAAACAAGACAGTTTTTGTTCTCATGTTAGACCTGATTTTGTAGTGGACATGTTACATATGACTGTCACAGACTGTTTAGGGCTTGTTCCTCGCCTTGTCCTAAATTTGTCTAAATTTCAGGTTGTAAATCCCAATAATTTATTCTGATAAGGCCAGCTCAGGTCAGACTGTGAGTGGATCAGAACGGTTTAGACTGAACCTCTAAACCTCTCACACCATCAAATAATCTTTGCAGTGAAATGGTTCCAAGGAAGCTTTCCAAACTTTTTCCCTTCCTTGATTTTGGAAAGCACAAATACTGTATAAAACAACCCAAAAATCCTCTGGTGTGCCGCCACAGGTTTATTACTTTGTGATCAAGAATCAGGTTGAAGCTCTGATCACTGGAAAAAGCACATGTGTGTCATTCCATCTGAGGGTTAATCACAAGCAGACAGTCACAGAAGGCCAGCGGGTCATGAAAGCCATATATGAAGTGTGACACAGAGTGACAGTCATGTTGACTTTATGTTGCTATAATATGTGTGTGTGTGTGTGCAAGAAAGCGACAGACTGGCCTGAGCCCATGAGGATAGAAACAGAAATTTGACAACTGAGGTCGAAGCTGTTGGTGAAACCAGAGCTCAGATGCTCCTGGAGCTGCACCACCTCCCCTTTTCTCACAGTATAACCCCCCTGACCCCAGTCTGCCCCTCTAAGCCTGCCGCTAGCCTTCCCAGGGCTGATGAGCTCTGGCAGCAGGCCTGGCTGTTGAGCAGTTGTCAGGACTCAATAATCGCCCAGGAGAGAACAGCCTCATCTTGCGTTTGCAAGACCAGCATCTCAAAGTGACATGTGGATATGAAGAATGTGCCAGTTATGCCTAGCAGGCAAAGTGGATGACAGAAGATAAAAGAAACAGACACAAAACCCAGGCCAGTCGCACCATTTTACTCCACTGTAAGCATTAAAGCATCAGGGTTAAGGACCACCTGCTACTATCTGCTGTTTATTTTAGGCAACAAGGTGGACTACACAACCTTTCTCGTGCTGCAACCTTAAATGCCGTCATGGGACAGATGCCCAAGCCAAGTAAATGTAACACATGTCATGACTGAGGAGTACTTTCATTGACGTTTGACATGTGTAGCCAGCTGATGCCTGAGGCAGTATGTATGTCTGGCATGCCTTGCAGCAACAGGTGTGAAGGCACCTGCCACCTCACACAAACACCCTTTAGCGTTTCCCTACAGACTCTCCTGCTTCGTTGTGCTGACCACACCACATTTCGTCTGAAATGATGCGGCATTCCCCTGCATAATTTACAACTTAATTCCACAGCGGTGGGCACACTGACAGAGGAGTTACAGGGGTCAGGTTGTTGGGCAAAAAAATTCCAGATGCAGTTTGTATACAAAGAGAGAGAGAGAGAGAAAAGAATAGGTAAGGAGAATGCACAGGACAGCAGGTAAGTGAGAAAAAGAAACTGGAGCTTTGCTTTATGCTTTTCATTAACTACCAAGTCCCTCAACTTGATCCAGCCTCAGCATCCAGTCTTCTCCATCACAACAACAGCTGAGTCTCTTGTCTGACAGGTGGGCAGTGAAACCAGACTACTGAACAAATGGCCTCCGCTGTTCTACGCTTTCCTTTTTAAAATTTTTCTTTTCTCGTCCATCTCAGGTCAAACTATTTCAGGTTTTTAGGCGTGAGCATGCTTTTCTGAACAGCTGAGAAAGTAGTCTGCGTGGTGGTGTCATTAACATGGCTCTAACCTTGTCTGTATCATATGATCAGGAAAAAAGTCTGTCTAGTATTTTTCATTCACAATTCTGCTGTGACAAAGCTTGACAATGAAATTAAGTAAAGACGAAAGCTGAGATTGTCAACCTTCTGTATCTTGTTACCCTCTCAAGGGATGAAGATACCAAAATTAAGTCTGACCCACAAAAACATTTAACACTGAAGGCCTGTTTGTGTCCCCTGCTTATTCGAATATAACTTATAAATGCTAAATAGAGGGACTCAAAGTAAAGTGTTACCCTAAAAATATTTGAGTTAGCAAATGAAAACCAGGCCAAACCAATTATCACAGCTGTGTTTACACTACCAGCATTTATTATCATAAAATAACCTCTTATTTTCTTTTCCTGGCTACAATTCTTATTTCACAGATTAATCATTTTACCAAGACATGGCAGCACATGACTAGCAAGAGCTTTGAGACAAATTCTAAGGAACACATGACTAACTTCAAGGCTCTGGAGGGGCCTTAATGTTAGTCATGTTTGTCTGAAGGAATAAAACAGAAATGTTTTTCATTCAAGCTGCACATGTGAAATTGCGAGTCGTTTTTAATTAGGCTACTAGCTAGGTAGATGGTTGTAAAAGGTCTGTTATGCTTCATCTTTAGGTTCAAGCTGCTTACTTCCTGTGCTGGGACTCCAGACTGCTGATAGTATTGTGTTTGGGTCAGGAAGAAAAGGAAACCAGCGGCTGCCACTCCTTCAACAACAGGTTCAATGAGAACTACAACAAAAGTATGACAACAAAATGCGTCTTCCTCCAACCAAGGAAAAACCTTTTACGGACAAAGCTTCAAATTATCCAGACTTGGTGTTCGTAGTCAGCAAGAAAGACATGAGTAATGCCACAAAGTGGTCAGCTCACATTAACAATGGTGGTGTTTTGCTTGTGAGTCACCAACACAGCTGAGGCCCTCCTCAATGGGCCATCAAAGACATTACCTCTTGTGGTTGGGTACAGAGAAATTTACTTTGACAGCTCTTTTCAAGTGGTGGCTAGAAAGGTGGCTAGTTGTGGTGGGGATAGGGGTGTCAAACAGATGGAAGCTAGTGGAAAAAACTGAGTAAGCAGCAGAGAAGGTCACAGAGTGGGAAGAGAGATCAGGCAAAGACAGTTACACATCACACCTGGAGGAGTGTAGTTGGTGGGGGTACATGTCTTTAGGCGTGAGAACAAGTATAGAGAGAAAGTGATTTATTAAGATGCAAATTATTTACAGCAGTAAAGAAGTTTACACGATGAAACACATAGATATTCACAAACATATTCTACATTAAAAAGATCCTTTAACAAGTCTCTAAAATGAAGGTGGAGTGAGGCGGAGGTGGTGAGAGCAGTAGGTGTGCCAGTTTAGTCAGTGAAATGGCACTGAAGTGAAAAACCCCTTTCCTGTATGGCTTAATTTTGATAACCTGCTTGCTTACAGGATACAAGATGTTGAGCCTGGGGCCTGGGTGACATCATTTCCTGTTATGACATAGAGCTCTAAATCTAGCTTGCGTATATAAGTTGTCAGTGCACTGCTGTAACCACAAAACAGTTTGCACAGCACTCTGAATCACATCCAGCTAATAGCATGGTGTTTAGCAAAAATGCAGCACTTAGCTGATGTACACCATCACCAACATGTCTCTAAATGGATCACATCTCTGCGCTGTGTTCAGCCAAGGTATGACCCACATGCCCTTATTGATAAAACTATAAATACTCAGACTTTCATGACACAAAATCATTAGGACAAGTATTTCATTACAAAGATGTAAAGGGAGTAAGACAGTCTTTGTGCATCGGAACCCAACACGCTATTTATTCCTGTCTAAGAGCCTCGTAAGACAGCTGATGTTGCATTAAATCACTGATGACATTAAATTCAAATGAGATTGTGACACTAAAATTACACATTCTTCTGTATTCATTTACTTTTCATCCCATTTCACTGAGATGATAAAGCACATATCCTCTAACATATATCTCTACATTTTCTTG